GCAATCATTTCGAATTACCTACAGCTACGCCGCGCGATTACCTTTCACACACGCAACGCCGTTCCCCAATAACTTACGCTTCGATGAAATAACAGATACACACCGTAATACATATCGATCGAAAAATTCACCAAAAACCCGGTGTATCGTTGAAACGTTAAAAAAAAAATAAATTAAAAATAATTTTCGTTAAAAACTGGAGAAAAGTAGAGAGAAGACAGAGAGAGAGAAAAAAACAAGTTACGAACCCTCATTAACATTCTACGAAATTGAACAGTTTCGTGGGAGGGCGGCCGCGGTGTTATCGATTGCGACCTATATAAAAGATTACGACCACTCCAACCACCCCCCACCCAACGCCCCCTCCTCCTCCTTTCAACCCTTCGTTTCATAGAAACATCGCAGTTTCTTCGTAAGCGAAACGAACCTCTATCTAGCTTTCCTTTTCCTCAAAATCCTTCCGTCGTTTCATCCGGCGGTTTAATCGTGTACACGCGTTATGTAACGAATTCTTAAAAAACATCGCCTTCGGTACACGTTTTAACAGGGAGAAGAATATTTTTTTCCCTCTAGCGAAATTTTCGAACGAAAACCCGAACCGAACGCACGCTGAAAAGTTTATCCCGGCAGCAACATTATATCCGAGGTTCCACTCTCTCTTGTCCTCTCGTGGAATAGAATCAGCGAAGCAATTGACCCGAGAATTACTAAATTATGCGCCACCTTTAACCAGGAGATCGACGTACTCCAGGGAAATTGTTTCGGTTACGCCGGAGCGATGAAAGTGACTACGACCTTTTCTCTATTTTTCTCGTATTTTTCTCTCTCACTCGGTTCGTTTTTAGTAGCAGAGATAGAATTAAAAGGTAGCTCGATAACGTGTATCCGGCTGGAAAGGTGGCCGGCCGGTACCGTCGCCGTGCTTTTTTTTTTTTTTTTCAACTCTTTTACTATTGGCTGCCTCTTGTCTAAATAAAAATACTCGGACGCGGTTGAACAGAGGGAATTAAATTAACGGGTGAAACCGCGACTCTTTGAGGGAGAGAAAAAAAAAAGAAAAAAGAGAGTAGAGAAATGGGGGGGACACGTCGTCTAGCTCCACTGGGTGACGCACAAACGATGTTCGAGCCGGCGTAAAGGTGAAAAATAAAAATCGAATTCGCGACGAATAGAAATGGGAAACCGGAGGAGACTTTCTAACCCGTGAGTCAGCCGGCTAACGGCGAAACAAACCATTTCTCACCGTCGATAAGAATACGCCTTTATGTGCGCCAAGATATATTTAGCTTCCGCTGGTATGTTTAACGAAGAAGATTGGAATGATTAATGGGGGAGAGGAAATGAGAATAAAATGAATAACAGAGGTTGAGAGGTGAATTTTTCATTAAAAGAAAAAAATTCATTCGACGATGCATTGATTTTCGTGTAACAGACGCCGACAGAGGGTTAACGTGCATCGCGAAATTTACTACGAGACGACCTATCACGACGCAGTTCTTCGTTCCGTGGAATCTCATTTCCGAGATGCATTTCACGTGACGTAATTTTTCGGGAATGGCCGTATAAATGTCGTGCACCGTGCACAAAATCCGCCCGATAACACTCGTGAGAACCGGCGACCGTCTCTCTCGCTGCCCTCTAAGCGGAAAATATGAAATATCTAACATGGCTGGTTACGCTGAAAAACGCACGAAAACGAGAGAAGCGTGATGTAATATTTAAAAGCTTGTAACGTTTGATAGCCGGGCACGTAAAACGAAAATGGGGAATATATTGCGACTGTATTTTACAAGCCGCGTCGCTTCGAATTACAGGATCAAGGGATAAACCGGGTGGATTCGTATTTTCTTGGCATTTCGAGAATATCGCGAAAAGATTTTCCGATGGTATCTTCGAAACGAACGTATCGTGTGAAGTTGAATTTTTTAATCGGTACGGTTCGAAGTTGTATCGTTTGATTAGTCGAGATAGCAATGGCGTAATTAGTATTCGTTGATATTCTTATTACGCAGAATAATTGTCACCGATTCCAGATAGGTCTTTATCTGTAAACCGTATCGGTTATTGACAACTGCGAAGATCGCACGGAAAGGTTAAGTGCAACGCAGTACTTTGAGTACATGTTAACCTCATTTTGATTCACGAAACGTCGTAACATCCTCGCCTAAGAAATACTTTACGTAAGCATAGAGACGAATGCTATCGATCTACTTTCAAAAAAGCATCGGCAGATCGAATCTGAAAGTTTCAACGCGCCGTACATATGCGCAAAAAGACCGTAGGTGCATTTCACGTCCGGTTAGAAATTACGCGTCTTTTGTCAAAAACAAACTCTCGCGTGTGACAAACAAGCGAGTTATCGTTGAAACGCAATACGCGTCCCTGTAAATGAAACAAAAGAGAAACGAACGTTACCGTGGCATAAACAAGATTAGCTTCGTCTACGAAACGTTGGAATGTCGAACTGGTTACAGCGTTCAATAGTGGAATAATAATTATAGGTTAATAACGATACTCACCTATCTTTTCTGTCCACATCTTCTCCTTCTGCAGATGCGGCAACTTTTTCTTCAGCCGGCACCTCTGTACCGGCGTCCTCCGCCTTTTTGCCCATCCACGTAGACACCTGATTCGTTAATCCGGTGAACATTTTCAATTCTAATGTAGCTTCAACACTTGAATGTGCGTGATATCTTGATCGCCTTCTCCGTCCTCTCTTCTATGCTAGCACAAACGTCACTGAAACCCTTACGGGACCGAATGACGGCAGAAACTTGTCCGCTTCGCTAGTCGCGCAACCACGAACTGCGTCGATTCTACGTACGGACGTGCCTTTTGTACTACAGCCGCGAACGGCGCAACTAGCCTGGAAGGGAAATGAGTTACAGTACTTCAATCGATTTTCCTCGGCATGCCGTGCGAAGCAGCGATCGTGAGACGTCGGCCGAAGCGGTTACCCCCCTCTACAACCGTCCTCTCTCGGTTACCCCCACTATACCGTCCTCGTGCTCTCACACAAGTATAGCGATAGTTTTGTCTGTGTGCGAAGCCTATTCGGCTTTTTCCGCCAATGATCTACGTCACCACGCGACGCTTGAGCAACCTGAGCGAATGAGTAACAATCAGGAGATTCCCTTTGAATCTCGGTGCGACGATGTTACTTTTTATTTTTAATTAATTTCTAATTTCACTTTGTAACTTTTCAGTGAAATAAAAAATTTGAGAAATATTGATGTGCAAGGCACTTAACAAGGAGACTACATACCTGACCTCCGAGGATTTTAACGAAATTTGGAGGGATGAATCTGAAGTCGAACAAATGACATTCTGTCAAATATTTCATTTCATTGTGTATTTTTTATAAACAATTGAAATTACTTCTATAAAACTTTGTATGTTTAATTTACGTTTAATAATCGACAGTAGGTGTGCGCTTAAAACGTTTGCTTCGTAAGTGAATATTGTACGTTTCGAGTCTTGAAGGGGAGGTAAAAGAATATTTTTTACTTTTATTTTAATTGATAAAATCTAATATTATTTTATTTTATGACATCTGCAATTTATTTATATAAATTATTGTAAGGCGCTGTGCGACGCGCCTAGACAACGACCACGGGACCCGAGCCGCCAGGGGGCTCTGGACAAGGGCGAGCGTAGGCTGCACCCCCACCTCACGGCTTGCAGGGTCCTAACGGCCGGAGAGCCATATAAAAACGGGAAAGAGGGCAGCAGCCCACACAATATCGCACGTAGTCATCGACGAGCGACCAACGTTATTTTAATATCAGTTATTTTGAACGCCTGTAATTCCTTAGTCTTACATAATTAATTTTAAAACTTCGAATAAAACATATTTTTACAAAAGATATAGTATTTGTACATATAAACTTAATACATAATTTTTGCCTACGATAAATATTTACACAATATACATATGTATAAACAATACACAATATATGTAAGTATAGATATATTAATCATATACTTATTGTATTAATTATGACAACTAGCGAGATGATACAAATTGTAAAAACAGTAGAAACAGAAATTTTTTGCAATGTGCAATATTAAATTACAATTACATTTGTTATTTTTTATATTTGGTGGAAAATAGACGCAGGTAGTTCATTGTGAATGAGTGATTATATTTTTATTATCTTCAAACGGTTGAAAAAACATAAAAGTAAAGATATAAAAATGAAGTAATGTGAAATTTTATCAATTAAAGTAAGAGTGAAAAAAATTCTTCATTGTACAAAGATCCGAACTCAGATTACCCGATTACGAAACAAACACCCTGTGCACTGGCTCACTGCCGATTGTTGAATAATGGCTAAACTTCTCAAGTTTTATAGAGTAATTTCAATTGTTTATAAAAAATGCGCATTGAGATGAAATATTTTATAGAATGCCATTTTTCGACATCTAGATTCATCCCTGCAAGTCTCATTAAAATCCTGGTGGGTGAGGTATGTAGACTCCTTGATAAGTGCTTTGCAGATCAATATTTCTCAAATGTTTTATTTCACTGAAATGTAACAAAATGAAATTACAAAATAATTAAAAATAAAAAGTAACACCGACGCACAGTGTTTCGACCAATGGACAAAAATTAGAAATTCAAAGTGTAAAATCTAAAAATTTTTTCATTTTAAAATATTAATAACAAACCGTAGTTTGTAATATTACCTATAATTTTGACTGAATACGTCCATTTGTTGTTAAAATTAAGACGTGAAATTTGCTTCATTAAAATCAGTGTATTTTTCAAATATGTGTCATTCACAGACCATTTGTGTTTTTGATTTGATTTTTATAGGTTGTGTTTAGTACCTAAATACCTTTGAGGCTGACAGAATTTGAATACAATAGTGATAAATTTTCCTAATTTTTTATGTAAAATTTTTATCAAATTTAACGAAACTTTAAAAAAAGTACCGAGTGATTTTTTGTATATTAATTTTGAACATATAAATCTTTATATTAATGTCAAATTTAACTGCTCAAATTTGCTCAAAATGAAGAAAATTGTCAAAATCGTTATTGACGCGTTCAGTATTCTAGCCGTCCTATCCTACTATTGTACGCGCTATTCAATTTTTTTATTATTCATATTGTTATTTAACTTCCTAATGAAAATTGCAAAACAAAAATAAAAGAGAAATTTTGAACGTATATAAAGTTGATATTTGTCTCTGAAACCCCTGTATGCGAAACGGCCGCTACTATTTTGCCGGTATTTCCGCGAAACTGATGAACAAATTTTTCAAATAAAAGTTAATCAGTATTCAGTTAACAATACATCGTGTTAATGAAAATTTACAAAAAAGTTTTTACTCGATAAAAAATATAGATCGCTACAATTTTTTTAAATGAAACCATATATTTTTTTATGTGCCAATCAATGCATATTTGAATTCTTTTCGAAAAAGTATTAGAGAGAACTTAGGTCGAAAATTGATTAATTTAGAAGTTTTAATTTTTGTCCCGAACGCTCATATACTCTAAACACTGCGTTTCACCGAGATTCAAAGGGAATCTCTTGATTATTGTTACTCGTGCACTTTCTTGAGCGGTAGATTATTGGCGGAAAGAGCCGAACAGGCTGCGCACACGGACAGAGCTATCGCTACATTGTGTGAGAGCACGGGGACGGTATAGTGGGAGACGGCGGTAGGTCATAGTGGGGGTAACTGCTTCCGCCGATGTCCCACGATTCTGGCAGCACTGGTGCGAAGTATAACGTGTGCAATCTAAGTTATAATTTATACAGGTTTGAAACCATATAAACAGAATGCCACACGAGACTAAATGTCCCTAGAGGTTCTAGGGATATTAATTTTCCGATTTAGGTATCATTTTTGGCGCTATATTTGAAACTGAAAATGTACCGTATAGTGTATTTTACGGAAATGTTTAAATTTATACAAGGCAGTTACAACATTATCGAACTCGGTATATAATTTGTACATTTCCTACTTCTTCGAATACTTCAGCATCAGTGTTGCGAATCGTTAAAACGAGTAAATTGTACATTATTACATAGAGGTAGATTTGTACGCAAACAAATTTACCTAAGTCTAATATATTACTACATATTGGTGTGCTATCGGTTGGTGTTTTAATTTACAATATACGCCTTTAAATGTTGTACTGCATTTCGGAATCATGCTATATATTCTGTTGGTACATTTGTACTTAGTTTAGGATTTAGAATTTATGCGTTGCTAGTGGAATAAAGATACGAACAGCACCTTAGGTTCGATATCACAGGTATTCGAGTCTTCCTTTTTCTTTTTTGGTATCGTGAATTTAAACATAATATTAATATTCGACGTTTTCTATTTTCCGATTATTAATATTTTAAACTTTGACTATTGGTATTCTATATTTGGTGTTTTACGTTCCCGAATTTTGGCATTGTATATTTGGTATCTCGACATTCTTGAATATGTTTGATTACAGTATTTGATTTTTTTTCTGTTATAACCCTGACTTGCAATTGCTTATCTTTTTGTATTTCGTAATTGCTTTTTTCTGTTATCATCATGATTGTTTCTGTCTGATGCACCCCTATTATATATATATATATATAACGTACATTTAATTAGAGAGAAGTATTTACAATTTTACTACGAAACTTTCATGATTACTGTAAGTTCATGCTCAAACCAATTATGAACCCGCGTCATTTTTCTAAAATTACGTTTGTTCTCTTTTTGTTCAGAGTTGTGTAACGGTCGAATACGTTCCACAAGTCACTAAAATATGCCTAACATTCTCTATATATATATACACATATATACATATATGTAGTTGTATCCCTAGGAATGTGCATTACTTCAATATAGTCACTATTTCTCCTTCGCCGTTGCTGCAGACTTTTCCTTTAAAGCTTCCTGTTCACGTTGGTACCTGAAAGAAATAATTTAATTAGATATTTAAAATATAGAAAAAAGAAAATCTTCTAATTAAATGCTATTTTTCTTAAAATATTATCTCTTAAAATTAAGGTCAAGTTAAAAAAATTTTTACGTAATATAGATGAAGGAAACTTACATTATTGCTCGACTAACTTGGTATAAAGATGTAATGGCCACGAAGAGATTTACACTAAAAAGGCTCCAGTTTTTCGGAGTGATCGCCAGCGAGTACCTGGTCCATATCACGCCAGTAACGCCCAAGGCACTTGATTGGCTAATGGAAATTTGGTTTGCTGGCCTCTGCAGATCACCGAGGCCAGCTACTACAAGTCCCTGCAATTTGAAAACTTCCGTTTAACATTTCCAAAATGTACGCCACAAAGGAGACAAATGAAAAGGAAAGGGACAGGAAAAATAACGAGTATTTCAATGTAAGAGGAACGGTTAATGAAAAGGTCAACAATCTAGGTCGCATTCAAACGGTTTACTTTACAAGATTGACCTATATTCAGCTAAATCGACCGTGATACGTTACAAGATATCGCGGGCGCGTGTAATTTTGATCTAAGAAATCTTTGGTTGTAAAATTCATAATTTTATACATATTAAAATTTTATTAGCTTAACGTGACATTTACGCGCGACTATATTGCTTTTTAACGTTGAGTTAAAACACGTGTATCGACAGTGTATTATCCATTGTATGCACCGTTGCGGAAGTATGTATAAAACACTGTTACGAAATGATCAAAGGTGATCGCAAAGCGACATTTATTTCTTTCGCAATATTTGCTATGACGAGCATTAGCAGCGCATTTGGATCAAGTCCATGCGGATACAACGTCTTCATAGTCGAGAAATATTTCTGTAACGTGTTTATTGCAGCCAACAGCAGAAAACCCGCGCATTTACTTGCTTTAGAATTGATTCGTTTATGCCAACTATATTACGCTTGTCCAGTGATTGAAAATCTAAACGTGCAGTTAATAGTTCGGTTGTTCTGTAACGATATCAAACGACATTACTATTGTAAAATGTATGTTATATAATAACATTCAGCATGACGTTAAATTTCAAAGATATTACTGACCCATTTAAAAGCTGGTGCCCAGAAGAATATAGTCTGCGGACCTGAAAGGGGAAAATAGGTCGATACTGCTGTTACATATTTCTTTTAATAGTTGAGGAATATATCGCTAGTATTAGCCTGGAAAGAAACAAAATACAAGTAATTCGTGACACAGCGATAATGATTGTGTCATCTGAATTTTAAGTAAAGATTAGAATCGTGTTTCATAATTTATGTATTACACAACCTCTCGTTCGAGCAAATTTCAAAATCCATTTACAAAAAATATAATCTGTGACAAACTTCAAGATGTTCGTTTAGTAGATATCGATGCATTATCGCGAAAGTTCTTTAGAACCGTTGACGCTGCGAAATTTTACAAGAAAATACGATAGAAGAAGTACATAAATGTAGCGAGCCTAGAATGTAGGGCACCGTGTCGTGGGATGACATTGATTCACATGTGCACGCGTGTTAACGACGGTCAAGTCCATCGAGTTCACAGAACTGCAGCACGAGAAATGACAAAAAAGTAGATGCCTGAAGTTCGTAAGGCGTTACGACAGTGTTTCTTTTTTTTTCGCCCGCCAAAACGAATGCACGCTGCTACAGTGACACGAAGAAAGATATACGCTCCTCACACGTGTTACGATTTCAGAAATCTAAATAATCATCGATAACTTACTAACCAGCTGGGTGATTCCACAGTGGCTGAAACTTTTGCGGCACACACTTGCCAATCGCGTTCATCGTGTTCTTGTAAACGACCGACATTGTTTATCGCGCGTTCACACGCCAATAACGTTAAAAAGAAAAAGAAAAAAAAAGTTAGAGACCCGACTGTTCGAAGATCTGTTACGAAACGAGTGAACGTGGAAATGACAAGCAACACGACGATCCGATCCGCACACTGAGACTGAATATCGCGAAGTGCGATATTAGTAGCTATGCTGGTCGCAAGGGTACTCCGCCCATTCCTTTCCCCGCACAGATTTCCGGGACCTGAAGCGCTATGCTGTGTACGTATATCTGTTCATTTGTGTACATCATTTGTATTCACACACTAGCATGGATTATTTAGGATCTCTTCGATCGATTAATACTGACGGATAATAGTGATGTAGTAATTAACCTACAACTATTGCCACAGGGAAGTACCTATGAACGATTATCGGTTAGAATCGATGCTCGAAATTAATACAATATATCGCAAAACTTCTTGTGTTCAACAACTTTTGATCGCATATCTATTGAAATAAAATTCATATTAATGATGCCTTCGTTTAAAATCATATAGCGTTATCTATTTTATCATTCAATTAAAGTTTTTAAATAGTTATGTTACAACATAATTTCAACAAGATTATCGTGATGTTAGAACTTGTCTGCTTAGAGATAAGATTGTAATTGAATGAAGTAATCACAATTACACTTATCTGTTAGACGATCTGCAATTATTCACATTCAATTAACGTCTGTATCAATGTATATATATTTACAGACGTTTGTAGATACTCAACTACCATTAATTCCGGAAACAAATTTACACGCATGTTAGAGCTGTGTTTTTGAATACGAATTATGCGCAACCTTGCCACCGATAAAGGAAATTCTCTATGCACGATCAACACTATTGATAATACATTATCAATAGCGAGGAATGTAGTAATCGACATTGGCCTAGAGTATAAAATTGAACACGGCAGAGTGCCAAATTCTATATTGCATGGTCATGCTAATCTATTAATATATTAACCACGTGTAGCTGTTTTGCATCGCGACATGGCGGAACATTGCAAACGTAATTCCGCTTTCAGTCCATTGATCTCGTGAGAAGGAAGTGTGAATGTGTATTTACACTGCTTTATTTACATTCAAATGTATACACTTTTTTATAACATCGAATAAAATGCAAAAAAGACTTAAATAATATAATAAATGCTATCAGAAATTGAGCTCGACGAGAGAGAATGCAAACTTTGTTTTCACTGATCAAATATTATGATCCCTCGATTCGTGATTGTTCACATCTCCCGTGAATTGCACCACAGTTAACACGAATACATTGATAGCATGTATTCCTATATCAAAACAATGACAAATATTTCGGCATATACATAACCATATATTTTCCATTGCATATACAGAATATATGTCAGAATACATGTAATATACTATGTTTTTTTGTTTTTTATTCAATTTTTATAAGGTTATTGTATACTGATACGTCGAAAACTTTTCGTCATGTTCTGTCATCTTTTGAAATATATATCTCATTAAAACCGAAAAAATCGACGCACTCAAATAAAATCTATGACATAAGAGCGAAGTATGATTTTATGTATGAATTGAAATACAGTGATTTATCTTTGTTGCGACTTCTTAGAACGTTTACAATTTTTATATTTGGTATGTAACATAAATGCATAAATTGTGTGCCATAAATTGATAGTTGTGCATACAATTAAAATATAGAAATTTGTTAAAAAATTCAATAAAACTTATGAACAAATTATCACTTGTTTTTAAATGCATATACCGTATATTTAAGGCACATAGTATAAAGTAACAGTAGAAAATAGTATTGACTTTATAGTTCAATGAACAGATGAAAGTCAAAGATATGGAAGATTTCCATAACTCATTAAATATGAATAATTTATACAGTAATGTTTTAACATTGATTATACATTTTTAGTAAACCATAAAATTTTTTATATTATTTAAATGTTAACTTAAATAATTTAATTCTCCAACATATTCCGAGTATGACATATTTTGCTAAATATGTCTTAAAAATTTCTTATTATTTAATAAAATCGTTATATCAAAATGCAAGATAATAGATTTCTTAATTATACAATTTGTAGTTCCATTATGTAATTGAAATATTTTATGCCTTAGTGTAGCACTTATAATAAAATTTCCAATCATTAAAATTACAAAATTACTTTTGTAATTTTTTTTTTGTATATTTTTGCGATACAACACAATTATTGTTCTTTACAAAAATGATGTATATGATACTAAAATATATTTTATATTGCAATAATACTTATGCATCAAATATATACTCATATATATTGTTCGGGAATATTGAGTGGCCTTCGATTTATGACACGGCCACGGTGAATCACGCTATTTTTGATTACGATTCAGCACGAAGACTGCAAGCCTTGCTGGTCTCTTAGAACCAGAAGGTTGCGGCAGTCGAAAGTTCTAACTATACATATATGCAAAGTTCAATAGCGAACAGCGGGTCATAAACCATGTGATAGCCACTCAGTAAAAGTTGCACATGAGCCTGACAAATCAGGCAAACGGAAGGTTCGTTTTCCCGGCTAATTTTCGTCAGTATCTCAAGCCTTCCTGAAGCGGGTGGAAAGGAAAACGACCAAGGGTACCTTTTTCCAACCGCTTGTCAGGAAGGCAGATCTGAGTTAGATAATGTAGAGTAAGAAGCAACTCGCAATCTGACTGCCGGACCTAATAGTTATTCATTCTACAAAGTACCATGAGTAAAATGTGTAAATACGAAGGGACAGCCCCTTCATAGACACACGTCTTATTTACACACACTCCCAGATCGAAAACGAGCCATTTCCGGACGCGGGTATATGTACTATATATTTGACATATTACTAAACTGGGGTATGATTATCTAAAATATGTAGAAAAGAGCACGTGTACAAAAAATAAGTAGAATAAAATGTATAAAATACGTTTAGTAAATTTAGTTATTTGAAACTAGTTATGAAAAACACACTGGACTTGAAATATGTGAATACTTTTAAAATTGATCTAAAAATTGTATTGTATGTAAGAACTAGTATAAAAAAAATGAAGTAAAAAACGGAACTGCAGTCTTCTATGTAAGGTTATGTGAATAAGAGATCTTTTAATTTTTTGATAAATGCAAGAGGCAGTGGTATTAGGATACTGTTGAGAACTTTACGTGCGTCCCATGTATAGTCTTGAGCATCAGTCAATTAAATTGCACAAAATCATTCGTACTCTAATACAATTGAAATTATAACCGTCAGCGTTATTCATATTTTCATTTTCCTATCTATAAAATACGTTGTTTCGATGTTGTAGCCAAATCTACCTTTTACAAAATTCGAAACTTTTACTTATTTGCAAGTAACGTTTTTACAAGTTATTGCACTTCTGCAATATTTAAATTTAAAACTGAATTATAAGTATATTCAATTAAAATAGTTATCGTTAATTGTATTCGCATAACGTGAAAGTACTAATAGATCCATATATATCAACTGTAACAAACTTTGTAAAATCGGCAGATATGCATACTTTTGTAAAATAGTTCGAAGGTAATTCGACAACAGCTAATAATGCTGAATGCCTAGGATCCTTACTTTCTTTAGATCTCCAAAACTTACTTAGATTAGGTACATCATTTGTCAAAGTATTATCTTCTAACTGATGTTGCATATCGCACATATGTGAGTCTACACTTTGACTAGCAGATATATGTGAGTTGACATATACTTTCCCATCAACAGAAGGAGTGCTAAAGCTGCGATTCATTATGTGTCGTATCCTTTTTGGTTTGCTCAGGTATATAGCCAAAGTAATATTCCACCAAACTAATTCTCCAGAACTTACAGAAAGTAAAATCGGTATTTCAACTGTAGAAGGTGCCCAATGTAACTGTGTAATGGAACTTGTATGAAAACATAATTTACGAATCTCCTCCTGCATCGATATATCGATAACCTAGAAATTAACGATAATATAATATTTGTTAACATTATTTGCATATATCATAGTTATTAAAATCGTTATAATGCAAGCTTACAGAAATTTCTCCACTTTCAAAACCGACAGCTAAATACTTCTCATTTTGTGAAATTTCGCAACATGTTAATTTGCAACTGTACTTTTTTCTAAAATGTTCCGTTATATTGATACTAACTGGTACTGTTCTTGTATCATATTGTAAATAATACAGAATCACATCTCCATTTTCATTCAACACAGTGAGAAACCTTTTTTCGTAACTCAGACAACTAAAAATGGTAACTATATCTGGACTTCCAACAGTTACTTTACGCCTTCGTAACCAATTACTTCCGCTGGCATACCAAATTCTTATAATACCATCTCGAGTTACTGTTAGTATATATTTTGTATCAATCTCATAGATTGAAATAACGTATCCTGTATCTTCAATTGAGTACGTTCGATTTATATTTACCCATACCTGCAAATGATAAAACATAGATTAAGGAAACATTAGCAAGATTTTGCAATTTCCAATATAATAAATATTTTGTGATTGTACCTCTATGTTATCTGTCGCTCTACAGATAATTACTTTGTGAACCGATGTATCTAATATATTTAAAATTTTGACTAATTCCACATTAGATTGAAAGGTTAATATACATTTGTTATTTTTCAGGGCTATATCACAGAAATTAACAATGCCTTTATCAGTAACATAAATTATTTCACGTTCATCAGATAAAATCAAATGACTTATTTTCCCATCAATCGGTTTACTTTCTGCTATTACTTTATCACCCCTTAATGCAATAATAGTATTTGAAAGCGTTTCTGTAACAACAGTATCTGGTGCACCTCCAAATCCCTGTACTAATGCATCAAACACAGGTTTTCTTATCGATGTATAAGTTCCCTGCACTGGAAGTTTCCATTTATGAAGTAATTGATTTTCACTGCCACAAATAACGTGATATCCTTCTTTTTTTAACCAGAATGTGTCTAAAGAACAGACACGACTTTTATAAGTAGCTATTGGCTGTTGTCCAACGTCCACTTTCCATATATTTATAAAACCACTCGAATCAGCCAAAACTATGTATTGGCCATCATTAGTCAAACTGGCACAAACATAAACACTCTTCTTATCTTCAACATTTGCTCTTATTTGCTTATTATAACTGTGCATGTGGTTGTTACTCGATCTAAACCATTTTATGTATACAGCCTTTTCTTCGGTAACAATGAATAAAGAATTATTTTGATTCGGTACACTGCGGAAAAAGATAATGTTCTTTTTTTGTAAATCTGGATTGTACTGTGATAAGTATTGGTACTCTTTGTCATATTTACAATATGATATTAAAACGCCATTTGTTTCATCCATTATATGGAGCAGATTACTTTCCATTGTAAATGCTATATTTTTAAGGTAACTGCTACTGCAAAAATTTATACCATCTTAACTGTATAAACATCAATGTATGAATAATCAAATTTAAAAATCTTACCTCTGTGGATTATGACTATGATCTTCTAATATATTTCCACAATGATCCCAAATCTAAAACAGCAAAAAAATATTGTACAATTATAATCTTATTTCATTTAATGAAAATTTATTTATATTTATTATTTATATTTAAATATATTTATTGTTTCTCTACTTACCCTTATTGTTCCTCTATTTGTACAGGCTGCAACATGATTGTTATCATGTGTAAATGTCATATCTAATATGGTTTCATCAGCAATAGAAAACGTTATTAAACTATCATCAGGAGGAATTGTACTAGTAAAAATTCCACTCCAAGAAGATTGTTTTTGTCTTGGACTCAATACAGCAATATTATGTTCATCATTTTCATGATCAGAAAGTCTAAAAAGTTTTACTATACCATGATCATCTAGTGATAAAAAACAATCTTCTTCATTAGATATAACAATTTTTTTTATTTTACTATTCTTATCATGTCCACTGAAAATCTTTTGCCCTTTGTAAACGCTATCCCACAAAAATATTTCACCTGATCCATTTCCGATTAAAATTAGATCTCGGTCATATGCGAAACATGTTGTGTATATTTCTGTTGACGTTTCTTCACTGCATGGCACATACATTTGACCTAATTTTTTGTTATGAAAAATATATAAATGTTTGGATCTTTCTCTTGCGAGTTTAATAGCAGTCTCTTTAACATATCCATCATAAGAATAATTCATAGCAATTTGTACTATATCCAAACACTTTTTGCGTCTATGTTCTACTATAATGCTTGCTTGTTCTTCTAAGAATTTTTCCAAGTCAGTAAAACGCACTTCATATATTGGATCATTATTTTTGGTAATGTATTTTCGATAATTGTTTAAATCAAACAACAAATTATTTAAACCACTGTTGACTACTGTTGCTTGGATAAAATCAAAATCTAAATATATTTTAGGAAACTCTTCATATAGATGTGCTTGCTGCAAATGATATCCAATATATGAATAAATGTAATTATCTGCTGGTAATTTCGAAAAATCATCATTGCAATATTTCCGATATTTTTCGATTAACGATTGATGCATTTTTATCAATTCATTTTTCGAAAATTTTTTCCGAAGATGACAAAGTAATAAGTCATGGACTCCGTAAATGTAACTGCGTAATTCGTCATTCCACTGTTTAGCTGCGAGTGACTTATGGCACAAGTCAAGCATCATTTCTTCAACTTGAAATGGACATCCTTCCCACAGAATTTGTAACGTCTATGAAGCGAGAACAGATCATATTGTACAAAAATCTACTGAATATTTTCGACATGGAAATATAAAATAGTATAATATAAATGTCATACTATTCTACCTGTGGTGTTATGTTAACATCTTCTCTAAAAATAACTAATTCTTCATAGCGTTTTCTCATATTAACTGGTAACTGTTCTATACACATATTAAAAATTGCTTCTTGTTTTTCCAAAAATTTTCTAATTACTCTGAAAAATTAAAAATTATTTAAAGTTATGTCAGTATGAAGTTATTCAAATATATGTATATTTATATGTTCAGAATATTACTGGTTATTTTCATCTCTATTTCTCAATGAATTTAAATAATATTTCCATCTGTCTGAACGTAATTTCATATCTTCTTTAAATTCCTCAAATTGAGCAGAAAACATAGCTATTAATAAAGGCATTCCTTTACATTCTTCATGAATTCGTTTTGCTTCCATAGGAAGCTTTTCTACTTCTGTATCTAATACTTTCGCAAAGAGGCCTAAAGTTTCTGTCATATATATATATATATAAAGAAAAAATAATTCACCGAAATCACGGAAGGTCTTTTGTCCAACACAAGATCAAGATCGGCTGTAATCACTAATGTTTTACATTCAAAATCAAATACTTCAATTATTTTACTATCACAAACATCATCTAAAATTAACAAAGCTTGACAATGATTTTCTCTGCTAAAATGATATTTCAAGAAATGGATTAATGAATCTTTCAATAGTTCTGGTTTTAATGATTCTGGTAATATTTCCAAATTTTTAACAAGATGATAAAGTCTGTTAAGCTGAATTAATATTTCTTCATCTGCTGAGCGTTTATATCCAAATTTAATCCAGTATACTTCATTCTGAAAGAAATATAAAAAATTATCTTTATTACAGCACAAAATTTTAATCAAAATAGTTGAAGTACAACTTACATAAAACAAATTTCTTACAAATTTAGTGTCCTTTAATGTACTAGCTGTTAAACATGATTTACCAAAACCTTTCATACCATGAAGCACAACATATCCATTTGGTTGTAGTTGTTCCAAATAATATTGTAACTGTTTTGTCTGAAATCATAAAGCATTAGTCAGATTTTATGTAAGAAGTATGCATAATTAATAAAATTAGCATAGCAGACAATATCCAACAATTTCCTTTTTGAACTTACATGATTGATTTCCATAAGCATGCACATAAAATATCAAATATCACATTTAGCAATAGAAAATAATTGTACATTATTAATATCAAGAGAACATGAAAATATTTTCATATATTTTATTATGAATGAAAGAATGAATAAATATTTATGTTATACAATGTGCTTAATCAACAGAGAATTGTATTAGAGTAACTTGTGTATCTTTAATGTTTTAGTGATATATATGACTTATACCTTTTGTTCCCTTACAACAGTTAGTGGTGAAATTGGAGGAAGGGTAGGTGTCCCCATATATTTTATGTCATTAAAACTTTTTCGATTTTCTTCAAGTTTGTCCATATCCTGACTTAACCATTCATAATGATGCCGTAATGCTTGACGAAAAATGTCAAATGCATATGGACCACGACTAAAAAATGAAACATAATAATAATTTGACAAGTAATTTATAAAGGAAACACTTATTGAAATATATTACTAAAGAAAATGAAATTGTTGAAAGCATTTCATTGTACGAATACAACTTTAATTACATGCACCAGTTATACCTTGGAAGAATATCCAACAAAATCTCAGCTTTTTGCTGTTTAGTAGTGCCAGTTTCAATTTCTGTTATGTGTTGTTCTGTTAATATATATTCTGATTGCAATGGCTTTATAATACCATTATGCACATCTATATCAACCACTATATTTTTTCTTAAAATTTTAAGAATATTTTGATGAAATTTATCCATCTTTGTGATGCTATGTGTCTTTTGTCATATTACTTTTGTTTGGTTTTTTACTGAAATTATTTATAAAAAAGGTAAATAAAAATTTTATTCCAATGTACAAGTTTTCAATTAATGAACAAATATCGGATACAGATTCTTATTTCTAAATATACTATTTCAAGGTCCTTAAACCATATAAATCTTGACAAGTGCTACATAAAGTTTTAGTTGCTTTCACCAAATAGGAAATATTAAGAAGGCACAAAATTAATTACATTTACGATACTGTTCTTTTATAAATGTACATATTTCATTAGTACAATTATTATTTTTAAATAACTTTAAACAAGAAAGATAAAATGTATATATATGTATATATATACAATTTCGGTTTTTTCTTAAAAATTATCACGTGACGACTTCCATTATCTAAAATACTTTGTAAGGATGGTTATCATTTATTTAACATACCGTTACTAACAATCTTAATATCAAATAGGATGTGGCAGGAGACTACTGCGGTCAATGACACCAAAACTAAATTTGAAGATAAGTCTCGTGGACGTCTGGCACGTTTTTAACAAGTGTTCAGTGAAAATCTTACCCTTGTTAAGGTCGCTTGTTCAAAATACGCAGCACTTCCGCGTTTCACGCAGCCTTTGTCTGATAAACGAAATAATCCTTCTAGCACCCGCTACACTATCACCTTGTCATCGAAAAATCACTGACACTATGCCGCGTGCCTGAGTCAAACAACACAGTTGCCACTGTTGCCAAATCTACCGAGCTCGTACATGATTGGATGTTGGTATCGTAAGATGTCAATTTTCCCGCCATTTCTAGCTCTTGAATCTTTTAAATAGGAAAATATTACGAACACATTCAAACTCAGTTAATAAGGTCATTGAAGTTCCAATGTCACGAAAATGTACAACGAAAAATAAAGATATTGTAAATGGAAGGTAAGAATCAATCTGTTTAATTCAGCACACTTAAATTACAATCAATGTAACGTTGTTGCGTATTAACTGCGATAAAATTGAATTCGTCAAAATATTTTATAACATTATATACAATGCTAACCATGTGGAACAAAAACTTGAACACTATAAAATATCTGTCCGATATGGTCTAGTGGCTAGGATACCTGGCTCTCACCCAGGAGGCTCGGGTTCGATTCCCGGTATCGGAAATATTATTTTTTTTTCAGATTTCAAACATTTTACCATCGCAAAATTTTTATTTACAATCGTATGTTTAAAATAAAAAAAATTTTAATGTTTTATAAGATGGAAGGAAAATTACGAAGGAAAAAGGGGCAAAAATAAATCCCACTGCGATGGCCGGGAATCGAACCCGGATCAACTGCTTGGAAGGCAACTATGCTGACCATTACACCACCATCGCAGTTGATATACTACATCTAGAAAATGACAGATACGGAATACATCACCTATATAAGGTAAATTCGCAATTCCTTTTATACAAAAAATAATCCCTGCGATGGCCGGGAATCGAACCCGGATCAACTGCTTGGAAGGCAACTATGCTGACCATTACACCACCATCGCAGTTGATGTTCCCCGTGTATAAAATAATACATAACGAACGTGTCACCTATATAAGGTAAAATTTATAATTTTCTTAAGCAAAAAATATCCTCTGCGATGGCCGGGAATCGAACCCGGATCAACTGCTTGGAAGGCAACTATGCTGACCATTACACCACCATCGCAGTTGAAATCCGAATGTATTAAAATAGTACAATACGAGGAAATCGTCTATACGAAGTAAAAGTACAAGTTTCTCGACAAAAAAGAAACCCCTGCGATGGCCGGGAATCGAACCCGGATCAACTGCTTGGAAGGCAACTATGCTGACCATTACACCACCATCGCAGTTGTTCAACTGTTTCTACGTAGAGAAATGTGAGGTCGCCACTTTACTAGTAAAACCATGAACGTAGTAACTTTCTTAGAGACTATTTTGCGTATTTATATTCACAATCCGTAGATGATGCACGATTTTCTTTTACAAAGCTTCATTTTTTTTTTCACGTTAAATTATATATGCTTGTTAAAAAAAAAAAGGAAGACTAGTTATATAAAATTAAATCCTATGGACCAATGTCCGTGTTCGAATAGCTGGCTTTAATGAGCACACGTGAACCATTGTTCTCTGTTCGCCAATTAAACAGAATTATCCATTGAGAACGATGCGTTTATTGTTAAAGCGCGGAGCAAACTGTGCTTTATCCCTAAAAATGAAAAAAGTTTGAATATCTGCCGCATATCGTCCGCGTACACCGTCGAAATGAAACTGAAGCGAGCGAGAAAAATCGAAACTCCCTCACCTAACCTCAATTTATACTGTAACAAACTTGAAGGGGGATATAACAATTGTATAGGAAAGGTTTGGCAATTTAAATTAATATACGCTAATAAAATAGTAATAAAATAAAAATAAAAAGTAAGATACACTAATTCGCCATATGACAATTAGGCAGCGATGAAAGGAAAACAGTTTGTTATAGAAATTTACTGAGTTTAAATGCAGGTTAGAAAAGAAAGACGAAGGTAGAGATAGATGTAGGTTTTGGTGGCAGGTGTAATTTAAAATAAAATATATTTAATAGAAAATAAAACCGTACAACTACACTGAATATAATTATACACAGGACTGTACTATTGAATTTTAAAATCACATTGACTCTCATTAACGAAATACGCTATGACTCTCTATTCCATACTGTCTACTACACTAACTTTTCCACTTTGACCTCGTGCACACATTTTCCAAGCTCTTTTATTCTTGCACTCCCACATTCTCTCTCTCTATTTCTACTTCCCTCTCATTCTAAGCAGATACTCCTCTGAGACACCCAGTCGTGTCTACCCAAATCCTTGACGCACCCTTTGTTCACACGATATTCTCAAGTACTTAATCCTGTCGTCGAATCACTTTACACGGTTTGGATTTTACGAATTTTCTTTATTTCTTAATAGTTGTCTTTACAATGTGGTTTTCGCGAATATAACGTGGACGGTCTAAACTGCCTGGTAATTCAATGTTGACTGCCTGTTCGCTTTTTCGAGGCTGCCTTTGTATTAAGAATTAGGGGGAATTTAGGATTGCGTCCGTTAGGTAAGGACCAGGAATGTGTAAGGATAATGAGCAGGACTCGTTAGGATCGAGGGTTCGATGGTTAGAAAGAAGAATTGCAGGGACAATGGTTAGGTAATGAACTTAAGGATTTGGTACAAAAAAAATGGGTAGAGTGCATCAGCTTGAAGGTCTGCCGGAGATAAGACAGGAATTCGGTGGGAAAGTGGAAAACGCGCAGGTAGTTGTCAAAACGGTACCTGGGATAAGGATCTAAGGGATGAGGATTCGACAATCCCAAACGTTCTTCTTTCGCACCTTTATCGCTCCAGCTCAAGTATTTTCCATTCACGCAACTGTCGTTCCAGACTAAACACGCACAGAAATTCGATCACTCGTACGTAGATAAAGACAGAAGTAGGGAAAATACTAGAAAAGAAAAATTGGTAGAAAACAGAACTGTTCGTACTCACGTGAGCCTGGGTGCCACATGTGTGGATGAATGCCTGCTGTTTAGGCTGTTCGAGGACGAAGGCAACATCCTTGAAAGTGAAGAGACAAAAGAAGGAAGACTGGAAAAAAAAGGCTGGGATGAGAAAGTTTGGAAAATTATTATAGAATGAGAATGAACGGAAGAGGGTTTGCAAAGCTCGTTAGTAGGGATGTGTTGACAGTGACGTAACTGTTAAAACACTTCACCAGTGCATGCGTTGCATATAAACTTCGAAATATTGCCGATCATTTAGGGATACAATGGAAGAAAGTTTCGCGTTCCATATCGCTCACTAATGAATTATTCGGTATTTTCACTTTCATCTGTTACCATTAATATACATATACGTTCGCTTATACGTATTTCTCCATCTATTTGTTCACAATGTTCTTTATTTTGTAACTTTTGTTTAGAAAATATATTCATGCCGAATTTGAAAATTTATATCACCATTTTTAATTCTTCCACCTTAATTTAATACTTAATGTTATCCTTGACGCACTTCCATCTTAATTTAATAAACCGAATTTTAAAACGATACCGCCAAAATAAGAAATTTGGTAGCCGTGGTTAAAAATTTACCGCCAGTCACCCATGTTACACATTAAAATCTGCCGTAGCCAAGGGGTTAAGGATAAAAAGAAACCTAAGCGCCTTCTCATTCCACAACTTTTTTATTTATTTTTTTTTTTTTTTGGTAAAATCTGTAGGGTAATTCCGGGAGAGACGGACCAGGCAAGTATTTCCTACATTATTCACCATTTGTTTTACGGAAAGCGATCGAGCGTGGCTTTCAGTGTTTCTTCTTCCATATCTGGCGGATAATGTAGGAAATCCTTGTCCGTCTCTCCCGAAATCACCCTAGTACTTCCTCCAATTTTTATTAAATCATATTTCGCATTTCGTCACGAACTTATAGAATGACCTAACACACTCACATCAGTAACAACCCTGAATAACCGTCGAAAATATCACAGCTCGAGCGAATTGTCGCCGAAAGATTGAATCATTCTTGAATAATCCTGCGTTAACCACTGTCGTTATTGTCCACGATACGAGATTGCGAGAATGAATTATTCGATTAGTACAACCGAAGCTCTCTGTTCGACTCGAATATAGAGGTGCGTACCAATGGCGGTGCGGCGTTGTACGCGCGAGACATGCGGCAAATTCGATTACGTTAGAAACAGCATTTGGCGTTCAGGCTGCATTAACCGTGCATTGGTTACTTGCTCGATTAATTTGTCGCGAATTCACCGTTGCAAACGACTCCGTTCCCATTCGCAAGATACGCACTCGTTCCCGTCCCTGTCATTTTTCCGCCACATCCGACAACACCAGGCAGGTATAGCAGATAAGTACACATACACACGCCAACTGGCTCTGCGTTGGAAATCGATAAACTCGCAGGGCCATTAAGACGGGACGAATCTAATTAAAGAGAGAAACGCCTGGTACACAGGGTTTACATAGGAAATAGGGGGAGGCAGAAACACAATTTCAATGACAATCTAAAATCAGACGAGCACACGATGTGGAAGCAAAAGGGGTGGAAAGTGTCACGAAAGTATTTCTCATCACCTGTGTAGTAAACTAATGACAGAGTACACTAATGGGTCCCCGATGCACGATGGTGAGAGCTCGATCATTATTATCCCCTCTGTTCGATGTTACCGATAAAATTACAGGTACATTAAGATACCATGGATACCACCGGGCCAATTCTATAATTATGAAAGGATCTCATTAGAAGAAGGTCCGTGAGTTGTGCGATTTACGGGGACGCGAGGTGGTGCGTTTATTCGCGAATTTGCATATCGCGTGTACACGACGATCGTGTACGTTTGTATAGATGTATGTATGTTCGAAGGGGTAGTTGTATATCTAAGCAAAGGCGCAAACACGTCGTATATTGTTCGAACAGAGGGAAGAATTACACAGAGCAGCGATTATTTTCTTCTCTCTTTCCCCAGCGATCTAACTTGCTGACGATCAAACGACCAAGTTTTCCATCGACACAGAGAACTCTCTACGCTTTTCAGTTTCTTCGTTCTTCCTCGGGGAA